GAAAGCCAAATTGGCTTTCCGCCTCGTTGAAATCGAACAACCTGTAAGTTGAATAGCGGTTAATTCAATTGTGTTAGAGCACGATAAACAACCGCTCATGTAAACTTCAGAAAAACTAAATCATCTACTTGGGACAAAGGAGCAGAGACCTAAACCGTAGCGAATGAATTGTTGGAGCTGATTGTACTGAAACGGGTTTAAAAAATTCTGGTGGGCAGAATAAAGTGAATGGTGAGAAAGCAACGTGAGACCATCAAGAGCAAACTGTGTTTCGAGAAACATCAGTTTCGATTACAGTCCAAGGTTGTACTCGGTCAGGTGATTAGTACATAATTCGATAGCTAACCAACGGGGTTCAGCCAAATTAGGTATAACGACGACTATGCATATAGAACGACCTTGTTGCTCAATCAGGTCATTAACTTTAAAGAAATCATATCACGCCTTTCTTATCCAGTTTATATTTGCTGCTAGTGGGTTCTGTGTTTCCCAAGAGCTGATGCAAAATTAGGCTACATTTCGAGCCGGTCTAAGGTGTTGATTACACATCGATATGAACAATGTCAGGCTTTCGAAACGTGAACTACCGCAGTGTTTCCCGACATCCAAGCAGCCTTCGACTCTAGTGATGGGCGTGCATTATGAAACTCTTTGTTAAGAAGTGGAGTACTCGAGAAGTATAGTCCAATCGTCAAGAAGCACTGTCAGCACACAGGAGGTTGGGCTAAGGTAAATGGAAAGTTGTCGGCCCTAATAACGTCCAAAAGAGACATTCTATGCCTTCGTTCTTTTCAAGCTTTACCACCACTAGAGACGTTTCTGAACTAACTCTTGGTGGAATAGAGCTACTCCAAATGATGAGGCGTACAGCGCACAGTCGGCTACTAAGTGGAATCCAGTTAAGAAGCGAGCGTTCAGCCTTGGAACTTGGCGCAATCCCGTCGCCAGCAACATCGCGAGCTCCGGATGCCGAATCGCCTGACACACGTAGAGTATTGTGTGTGTATGTTGTAGTAAGCTTTCGTTTTGTTGCACCGTTGTGTAATGAAATACAGAAGCAGTAAACCTCATCGTCACCAGAACCTATTATTCACTCATGGAAACTGGCAACCTGCTCCTGGATTTGGAGTGGTGTACCTCTTGACGCCGGACTAGGTGCAATTTTTGCATCTATAGACTGGTAATTAAGTTAGTATTTGTTTCTGCGTTCATTCTTGATAAAGCGATCCAACAGGAAATCACAAACACTAAGCAGCAAGTTTGAAATCTAGCTAATAATTCTGTTTCGGGTCTGACCCAACAAACGTCATCGATCTATTTTGTTAACTTTTTGGCTCAGTATTGCAATTGTTTTCACACAGCGGCCAGCATGCAGAATGAGCTAAGCTTCAACATTAAGCATACTTAGAACACAGTTGAGAGGAGCAGAATGTAATCTCATAGGCCAGAACCAAGGAAACTTTAGCAGAACCGAAGTGATATGGTCTCGGTCGATGGAGGCGCTGCGAACCACAAAAGTGAGTCAGTAATCGCTGACCTTGTTAATAAACTAACAAGAGGATTTATAAACTAAGCGTCAAAAATGAGCATGAGGTATACGGTCATACAATGAAGTTTAACTTAGACATATGGAAATTGCGTGAAGAAAGCAGTTCTGAAATAATTTACTTGATCGGGTTCGTTGCTCATGGCTTCCCGGAAACGCCGAAATCGAGCCTCCGCTGCCGTTTCCTTTTTAGCAAGTGATTCCAAAGCGGTATCTTCACTGACGACAGAAGAGCAAAAAACGCTCGAAATAGACTACATAAAATACAACTGCGGCGCGTTGATTGGAAGTAAATATATTTCTGGCTTGTTGAAGCTATAGACAAGCATTGTACAAATAATGGTGGAAAGGATTGAGAAAACGAAGTATTTTGTGCCGTTTGCCCAAATCAACTGCTAACCGGTTATTGGATCTAGAGAACCCAACTATCAGCTGTTCATCCCTTGACATGGTATCATATGTTTTCACACGCGCTCAAGTGCAGACTGTGCCAAACAAATCATGGTACAATAATCTTAATAAGAAAGAAAAAATATCCATAATTTCCTCGAGGGCACGATACTGTTAGGTCTCCCAGGATAAACCAGGTGGATTTTCTTAAGGAGTTCACAACCGGAGCTTTCGGGTAACCAAAGCCTGACCCGCAAGGCAGTGTGTGAGAACCGCAAACCATTGGGGGCGCGTGTCCAGTTCATCGGATCACAGGACCGTTAGATGGCGTCAAACGTCCACCGTGCCCAGTACACCTCAGTACCCAAACGAGCCGGTGACCACTGCCACAACCAAGATGTAGGCGAGTGTGGTTCGAACGCCTCTTCTGGGTTGCTTTGGAATCAAGGTTTATGACCAGATCTCCTAGGTGAACTGCCAGGAATTCACCGACCCATTTACAGCCCCGGATGTTGGCTTTGCGACCTCCCATGGTGGTGGGCAAACACCTTAACAAGAAGACAGTGCGAAGGGCTTCCTCAGCAGAGGTTGTCTGAGGTGCTTGGTCGTACTTCGCATTTCCGGAGGTGATTTTCGCTTATCGCACAAAACTTGCAGGTACATGTGGGGTAGAAGCACCCGTATATCTTTTAACAACGATCAAATCCGAAAGCCTCATTGTGGTCGAGGGTAGGTGTCTTGGTCCTGACTGCTCACTCTTCCTTGCACCTAGTGAAGTGCCCCTAGACGGTTTAAGTGTTCACGTCTGTGCACGTTTAAAAGAAGAAATAAAGCCATTCACCTCATTTTATGAACAACAATTATACGAATAGAACGAGTGAGGATGAGGGCTATTAGGATAGCGGTGTTAGGAATCAAAAATAACATCCGCTCGATTCTAACTAGATGGACCAAAAGGCCACTATATATAATGAGGTCTCCGCTTTGCGAATCACAAAGCTGTATGATACCAATGATGACGAATTTAATCATTTCAAATAGTCCTGATATGAACGGTGTAAATTCCATCAACTTAAGCTGAAAACATCTCGAGTTGATGGGCAAGCACTGACAGGATTTTCGGAAACTCAGCCGGGAAGTGGAGAAATATCTACTCAAAATAACTTTTCTGTGCATACTACCTTGCGGTCACCCACATTTCCCAGAAGACTTAAGAGCAGAGAAAGGCAACTGAGAGATAGACGGAACATATGCTCAGCCAACGAAATCTTCGTTGGCCGAACATACGATTAAGACCAGCCATATTTTAAGCCACCAGAATTGGTTGCTTTGTTTTCCGGCTTTACTTAAATAAGTGTGTATGGGTAACGGTGCTAAGACACTGAAATTCATTTTTCATTTTCAAATCTTGACAGTCATGCACGCTGACAATATATGACTCACTGATTAGGATGCTGTGGAATATGTACGACAGGTAACGGATGAAGGAATGAACTAGGACGCCATATACATAAAGGGATCCCGCAAGTTTTTTGATCGACTGTTAACTGGCAGTCTACTGAATCAGATTTAGCTACCAGTATAACAGACCATCAAAGGATTATATCACTTTACCCATCAGTAACAGAATCAGCACCAGATGAACTGGGGTATGTAGTACCATCTTGCACTGCATGCACGTAGGTATTCAGGGAAAAACTTGTACAGGCGAGCTTCATACTGTAGTTTCCACTCCGAACGTACAAAAAACGAGTTCGGCAACCACTGATTCATACGGAGTCTGCAATTCAAGCCGTGAATTTTCGCCATGACCTAAAGAGCATACTTTTGGTTGATACTCACAATGGTAAAAGTCAAGTTATATCAGGCAAAGCCTTTTCTTTATCATGTGTTTTACGTTCAAAGTCTATCGAACAGTGCAACAAGCTACCACTATCAAACCCGTAAGACCACCGAAAAGGAATATGTATTACGTGATTTTAATCCGTCTTCAGCATGTTACCCCAGAAACTGGATGAAGCTACTGAAAAGTTAGTTTACCCGCCATCATTAACAGTAGACTTATTAGAAATGAGCATCATCAATGAGCTTGGTTTTCCGAAGCGACTTAGTTCCACAAAACTAGCTGAATTGGTTCTGTTTGCATTCAACTTTACGCAAGGCTTCCGCATCAGAGTTGATGCAGCCCTTTCATTCAATTAAAGTGATTAAACGAGTACAAAATAGTTTCCATGAGGTTGGAATCATTGTACCAAATTACAAGAGAAGATAACGATACCTCTTTGTGACAGTCGTAGATGCCACCGTTACATTAAACTTGGTTGTTGATATTATTCTTCAACAAGTGATACGTCCCCACAGTATACATGTGGAAATCAGTCGGCACTTCGACCTGATCAAGTTTTTCAATAATAAGCGTGTCTGTCATTAGACTGTGAAGTAGAGACCCTCCGAGTTCACAGCGGATTTCGACTCAGTTTATCAGAGAAAAAACTGGTGGAATATTATTAGTTTATGATACTTTTATATTCCTCGCCAAATCACGGACAAGAGACAAATTAAGATCGTCAAATTAAGGACTAACTCTTTACCAGTGGTCAGTCCGGCATAAGTGGGAAATAAGAAACGATGATACTACAGTACTTAGTCAGATGTTGCATTGACGCTGGAGCTCTTTTTCGTATGCGTCGCTCGAAACCTTGGACACGCAAATATTACCTGTGCCACAGTTATTCTTTGCAGTAAAATAAATCTCACACAAAATACGATTATTCCATGAACTCATTGGTGCTTAGAATAAAATCAAGACAATTACAGAAATACCAAGTTTCACTGCGAATTTTTCACAATTTATGTGACCTAATTCGCAGTGATCTATTACTATAGTTCTTCGCTCAGCATGACAATCTACCATTGAAAGTAGAAATTAACCTGTTGCCAGTGCCTTCCGATGATAGACTGAGACAATGGTCTAATAAATGGATGCACAAATAAGGCACTCATATTGTGTTTTAACAAAAGATGGAACGTCGAAAACAAAAACTGAGAAAATGAATTAAAAAATTTACGAACAATTCGCAGTTGTTAACGAAGTAAGCTTTCTACGAAGGTCGTCTGAACATAATAGACAAACTGAAAATCTTCGAGCAACTAACACCTCTTCAGCGACCTCGGGTTCCTCTGCACTACTTTCGTCAGATTCTGGTACTATGCTTGTAATGTCCTCCGCCATTTCAGAACAAATTTTGTATTCGGGCAGCAGAAACTCATTTTGCGTAAACGAGGGACCCTTGATAGGTACAGGTAAATCCGGGTTGCATACTAATTTGTGCTCTGATTTCCAGTGCATAATCTAGAGTAAAGATAGATAAAATGAAAAAAAGCTATACCTGATGAGTCTTGGAACAATAACGAATTGTTTTGCACTTCGCGCAAACTTTATCTCCCAGACAACCGCATACTGGACATATGAAGTTGAATTTTTCAGCACATGGAAGAGTACCGTATTCTACCATAGACTGCACCTGATCCAGTGTGGGTTCTTCCGTCGCTGGTGGCTCATAACTAAAGAACTCAATCGTGCCGAATAGGAAAAATACCTGTAATAAGTGTTGTCTCTCGGCAACTGTGATCTAAAGACCACAAAAGGAATCGGATTGTCGACATCATGGCACGGACCATTTCGACACATAAAAATAAACAAAAACCGATGAAAACAATCCGCTCGTTCATCTATCGTCGAATACACCTGTAAACATCCACGAATTATTACTGAGAGGGAACACAAGATCGCGCACTTGCAGGAGGAAGGCCATTGGTTCGGAACATGTTGGACAGCATAGATCACGTGATCGTGGCAAGTTTCGTAGGGCTAGCCACGCTGGTCGCCCTCCAATTTTATCGGGAAACAAGGCAGAAATCAAGTGCCATGAATCCGTCGGGAAAGCAAATCCAAGAGCCAAGCCCGAGCACATATTGAAAGATAAAACGACTTAGCTACAAAATGAAAATGGATACCTTGGAATTGCGAAAGATAGTTATCAGGAAAATGAAACATTATGAGCAGCGTAAGGACGACGCAAGGTTGAATAAGAACGAATCTCTCTACATAACAATACCGGTGTTCCTTGACCTAAAACTAGCCTTTGATTCAGTTGACCGTGAAGCTCTTATGGGATCGTTGATTCGCAAAGGAATATCGTAGAAGTATGTAAACTTATTGCGGTCACTGTACCTGCATATTTCTGGTAGCGTAAGGGTCTAAGGTGGGCTGAGTAAATCGTTCGATATCAGGGGCGGCGAACCAAGTAAGGCCCCGATAGGTTAGGTGTGGTATTGAATCGGATGACAGCAAAGCTGCCTATCACCAAAGTCGGACCTGTGACAGCGACTAAACAACTGCGCCACCACCACCAAGATGCACAAATAGCTCTTGACAGACTTTCAAGTTCTGTAACTTCATTCGATATGCGCTTCGCATATTCAAAGAGCAAAGTGATGCTACAAGACTGGGTGTCGTTTACCCCGGCGCTGATTATTATTATTATTTACCACCGGCTTGAAAACAAGCATGGTGCCAACGTAACAACCCCGGCGCTGATGCTTGATGGTCAAGAATTAACTGTTGTGGAATGTTTCTCGTACTTAGTTAGCTGCGTGACAAGTGGCGGTAGCACAGTCAGTGAAGTAACTGCCCGCATTTCCAAGGCCCGATCACCTTACGCAGGACTGGAACACTTTTGGTGCAGATGTGA